TGGGATCATTAAGAGTTGACTATTCATCGATTTGTCCTTTAGGAAGACTGACATTTGAAACAAGATTGAAGGAATTATCAGGAACTGATTACGTGAAATTCTCAAAATATAATGCGTTTACATTACGCTGTCCAATTATCCTTCGTTACTGTCCTTCTTAAACTTGCTCTCCACCTGTTTGGTGTTTTTTTTTTTGTTTTTTTTTTTTTTTGGCGACAAAGAACAAAGTCACCCCTTGCTAAAAACTTTATTACACAAGAATATCGCTCAATGAGGTGGTAGAAAAAGACGGTAGGGGGGACCCTTGAAGAAGAGGAGATAGAAGGTAAAAAGATGGAGTAAGAGGAGAAGGATTATGAAGAATAGGAAAAAAAGGTCAAGTAGTTTGAAGGTGCTAGGTTTCCTTCTAGTGCTAGGGGTTTGGGGGTTTTGTGGAGCCTGAGGGTTATGGGGAGATAAATTTTGGTGGCTAGAGGTATGAAAGGAAGGGTGGGGAATGAGGAGCATGAGTTGAGGGGCTGCATGAATAACAGGGGGGGGAGTTGGGGGCGGAAGCATGATCTGAAGCTCTGGAAGAGTTACTCCTTTTAGAGGAAGATCGCTTAGGCGCCATTGGAATCAGTCGGCTAGTTCCTCGAGTAAGTGGAATGAGAATGTTCCCCCGGTGGTCCTAAGAAGGAACTTAGGATGAGGCTGCGAAGGAGGTAGAGAGGTTGCTCTCGGAGACTGCGGAAGGGGATAAAATAAAGAAAATGCATGCCATAGATGTTGTCAGATTGAATAGCAGAGTCCTRGAGTTGGRGGCCGTAGGCCTACACACCTCCTAGACTACCTTATATCCCCCATCGTCCCACATGTGACATGGTCGTCTTGCAGGGAATGGTGGAATGAGCGGATGARCGATGGAAGCTGGCGGCATAAGAGAGGCACTCCCGAGCACGAAGGAGATTATAAGAGCGGGTTAGAGTGGTGCAACAATGTTATCGATGAGCTTGGTTGTGGGCGGCGATGGCGTAACGGAATGCAAAAGTTATTACTTGGTCTGAATTAGTGGTTGGAGAGAAATAATGTTGGGCGGGATGGCATGAAGTGCGTCGATCTGGATATGTTATCGTTTATAAGCAGTCAGTGGTTGATCGAGGTGGAAGGTCGTTGTCAGACAGGGGATTGCGAGGGAACTCCAATAGTATTGCCATAAACTATAGATGCAACTATTTCAGATTGTTGGGCACGGAGAAAAATGATCCATGCCAGAGTAGTCGTGTGAAATCTTTCTGAAAAACCTATCGAGAATATGCGTTGCAAAGAGGAGTAACAGAGGAATCTCGATAGGCTTTTAGGAAAGACTTCACACGATATGAGAGCGGGTTGGAGTGCTGCAACAATGTTATCGATGAGTTTGGTTGTGGGCGGCGATGGCGTAACGGAATGCAAAAGTTATTACTTGGTTTGAATGAGTGGTTTGAAGAGAAATAATGTTGGGCATGAGGTGCACTGATATGGATATTTTATCGTTTATAAGAAGTCAGTGGTTGATCGAGGTGGAAGGTCGTTGCCGGACAGCGGATTGCGAGGGAACTCCAATAGTATCGCCATCAATTGTAGATGCGGCTATAAACTGCTTGAGTAATAGTTTCAGATTGCTGGGCAGGGAGAAAGATAATCCATGCCAGTGTAGTCGTGTGAAGTCTTTCCGAAAAGTCTATTGAAAGTATACGTTGCAAAGGGGAGTAACAAAGGAATCTCGATAGGCTTTTCGGAAAGACTAACCCGCCTCGTGACTTAGGTCACCAGAAGATTTCCTTGCAGCATCGACTTCATCATTACTCTCCTCTTCCTCTCGTCGTTACTCCCACTCTGTCTCGCAAGTGATCCAGTACGGTGTACGACTCAACTTCGTAGAAACCAATTACATTCCCACCACCAAATTAATAGAGGTACGCCACATGGTTAAGAGTGTGTACTCTGCCTCCCAATTTGAGAGAATTCTCAAAGTCGACTCCCCTCCCCCGACCACCATTCCCAATCATAACCTTCTTCCTCACCATCACGACTTCATCACTTCCTCTGTCTCTTAGCTACTCGTTTGCAAGGTCGTTGCCCCTTCCCCTTCCCCATCCCCAATAGTCATCAATCTTGTATTTGCAATAGAAAACTCTTCTAAAACAAGATTCATACTTGATGTGAGATTTCCTTACCTCCTTCGATATCAGGAACGGTTATTACCATATCCCCGTCCACCCAGATCATCACCCATTTTTTGCATTCAACTTGAACGAAACCAACTATCATTTCAACACCCTTTGTTTTGGAGTGTTATCCGCATGTTGAATTTTCACCTGTAATGCAAGAAATTATGACGGAACTCAGGATTCGCAACATTCTTATCTCTTCATACATAGACGATTCCGCACTAGCAAACCCATCTATTTCTTCCCTTATCTGACAATCCTTCAATTATGTTGCCCTCCTCCACAACTTGGGATTTTTTCTCACCATCCCCTTTGCAACGCATACTCTCGATAGGCTTTTCGGAAAGACTTCACAGGACTACTATGGCATGGATCATCTTTCTCATTGCCCAGCTATCTGAAACTATTACTCAAGTAATTTATAGCCGCATCTACAATTGATGGCGATACTATTGGGGTTCCCTCGCAATCCGCTGTCCGGCAACGACCTTCCACCTCGATCGCTTTGCCAAAACTGGCAAAGGAGAAAAATGACTCTCCTCAGTTTGGCTGATGATGTTGACTATCTGCCTGTAGATTCGCATACGCGCTGAGTGCTGCTGACGCGCGACTGAGGGAGGATCAAGGGAGATCAAGCAGGTCCAGCAGTGGTCCTAATCTCCCGCCCGCATCCACTGGAGGTGGTCTGAAGCCTAAGTTCCACCAGATCCGTAGTCCCGGTTCCGCTCCCGATGTGAACTGAAAAGAGTTGCAACTGTTGAAGAGGTCCGCTGAGGTCGTATCGGCCTTAACTGAAAATGCTTGTGCCCACTGGTAGTGGTCAGATACAGTAGTCCAGCCACTCGCGTCACAGATGATAAACTGCCAAACATAAGCGCACCGTAGATGTCCAAAACCTATGGGTGCGAATGGTGAAGTGAACGGGGCGGTCCGGTAGCTGTTGCTACCTGACTGCTGGTAACCTGGAAGTGAAAAGACAACTAAAACAGACGTAGGACAATTGCTAGATAGCAAAGATCAACGGCCAGAATCTCTTAATCCGTGCAAGTGGGACCTTGCCCCTGGACACTCTCCTCCCTTCCCTGGCCTTTGTAGCCTACCGTGACTACCGACTATTACGGGTTGTTTCTGAGGATTCCCGGGCTTAACTTCTAACTTGGTGATATAAATTTGCTTCTTCATAAATAAAAAAAAAGAGAAAAAAAAGCATTTCGACAATTACCTGTCAAATCTGGACAGGACGGCCTTTCAGGCCTTTTTTATTGTCATTATTATAGTATTAGGGAGAAACCCGTAGCAGCCACATCCGTGCTCAAGCCTACAAAGAGGGAACATGCAGGAGCTGCGCCCACCAGTGCGATACCTGCTACAGCAGAAGTGCGACACCTGCTACCTGCTACAGCAGGTGGGTGTAGCAGGTAGCAGGTGTGCGATACCTGCCAGGGGTCAGCCGTTGGCACGACCGAGCTTCTTCTATGGGCCAGTCACTGTGCCTCCCCTCCGCTGGATGCGAGGCCCTCTGCCCTCATTGCATGCATGTGTGTCTGTGGGTGTGCGTGTGCATGCAATGTTTGTGGGGGTGTGTGTGCACTCGTGTTTGCGCCAAGGCGGCTGTTTTGTCGGATTTCATCAGAGTCAGGGCATGCATGTGTGTGTCTGTGGACGTGTGTGTGCATGGATGTGTGTGTGGGTGTGCAAGTGCATTCATGTCTCTGGGGGGCCGTTTGTGCAGGCGTGCTTGTGCCAGGGCGACTGTTTTGTCCGACTCCACCAACGCTCATGTGAATTCCAATCGGCGCGCTCTGGACCGTGAGAGCGCCATCGCGGGACAGGACGGTGCGAATCTCTTGAGATCTCCGAGTTCGGGGAGGACTTCGGGCCTCTTCGCTCCACTATTCTCGACATGCACAAAAGACAAAACTATTGCGGTGTATCTTTGCATGTTCTAGCGGAAGATTCAGTCGCATTCTGCACACTGCATATTTGGAGAATAGTGGAGCGAATCGGCCAGCATTTTTTTGAAGGAAAAACAAAAAAAGGAATCGGCCGGTATTATCCGCGCGCCCAACACACGGAGTGGCAGCGGACTTCGGCTAGCGCAACGCAGTTGCGGTGCGCCACTGTAGCATTTTCCAGAATGAACGTGAGCGCATTTCTAACCAGATACATACACATAAAGGCGTCCAAGCACTTCTGCTCGATGGTAGGAAAGAGACAGCCCACCCTACGGACCCCGACAACCTCTGCGTTTCCCGCGCAAATAGCGATATCACGGTCTGGAGCATGTTTCCAATGCGGCCCGATGGGCCACGGATCAGATCAGAACATATACGAGGGCCTCGCTGCACTACTCTCGAAATGTGCAAAACGAGAGTGAATCTTCCCCTAGAATATGGAAAGATACACGGTCATGACTTTTGTCTTTTGTGCATGTCGAGAGCAGTGCAGCGAGCCCCACAACATAGAGAACGCATGTTACGGTAGAACGTGGAAAATACACCCGCCGTAGTTTTTTGGCGCCACGGCGAGGCTCGGAATCTGCCGACCATGATGAAAAAAAGGTTTCCCTTGGGCCCTTGCCACTGGTTCTCTACGAGCGTTCCCAAGTCCAACAGGAAGCGCGGAACTTCAGGAGGCCTCTCCGTGGCATTATTTATAGCGTGATACCCTCCACGAACATAGCAGCAGCTTGTCTGGAGCATCTCTTCTAACCGAGCACCTGCAACGTTGAAGGGTGCTTGCCGGTTCTTGCTGCTGCACATCTCCACCTCTGGTTAGGCCGTCTCGCCGATCAGCTCTCATAGCCGCCCCTTGTTTACCGCTAACTGCATCGTCCCGTCGCCGCCATGGCTGACGTTGCCAATGGTGCTTCCAACGGCGCGCAGGTCGACCCACATCATGAATCGTATGGAGACATCCATCCTCCAGTGAAGGCGAAGAATGTCGAGGAGCTTCACTCACTGCAGAAGGCGTCGTCGTCTGAGAAGGTACCTCCTCCTGCGCAATCGATCGGCAAGTCGCTTGCTTCCGTCTCCAAGGGCAAAGGGGTTTGTCATCAGTCTCGACCGGATCTTAGTGACACGGATCTGAAGGTTGCTCATGTGCTTTACAACCTGTCTCCCGCGGAGCTGTACGAGGAGGCGATCAAGTACGAGCAGGGGTCGCACATCACGTCCACCGGCGCGCTGGCCACTCTTTCTGGAGCCAAGACCGGTCGTTCTCCGAAGGACAAGCGCGTGGTGAAGGAGGATGAGACGTCTGCTGACCTCTGGTGGGGAGAGGGGTCGCCCAACATTGAGATGGACGAGGAGACGTTCTTGRTTAACCGGGAGAGAGCTGTGGATTACCTCAACTCGTTGGACAAGGTGTACGTGAACGACCAGTTYCTCAACTGGGACCCGAAGAACAGAATCAAGGTGCGCATCATCACGGCRCGGCCGTACCACTCGTTGTTCATGCGCAATATGTGCATTCGGCCGACGCCCGAGGAGTTGGAGGATTTCGAGCCGGAGTTCACCATCTACAATGGCGGGCGGTTCCCGGCCAACCGCTTCACGCACTACATGACGTCGTCAACCAGCATCGACATCCATCTAAAGAGGCGGGAGATGGTCATTCTGGGCTCGCAGTACGCCGGTGAGATGAAGAAGGG